TCAAAGGGCGTTTCGCAAATTAAATAATTTCGCATTCACGTTAACTTTTTCGCGGCATTGGCAAAAACGAGGCGACCGTTAGTAAATCAAATTGCACTTTTTAGAGCCCGTTCGGCTCGTGAGTAGTTTTACGGTATATTTGCATAAAACTAATTATGTGAAGCATACCTACTGATTCATCGGCTTCCTACCTCATCAGCATTGCTAAATATGCATACGGTTCTGACGTAATTGATGCGTAACAACAAAATATTGCCACTTCATTGGCATCAGATGCCTGTGCAATTAGCCAAATGATTTACACAAAGTCAATACTCTTGGAACTTTTGCAATGTGTGATTACGGTCGCTTTAAATGCAGGACAATACATACTGATCGTTAATGAATAATAAATTACACGTTTTGTCTGGAGAGAGCTCTCTTCATTACTCCAGAATTCCAAATAATTATTTTAAAAAAGCATTTTTTTCTCGATTTACAGAAACTGATTTTGATGTAATTTTAGACGTAATAGTGGGTGAGAACTTCACTGCGATAAACGCACGATGTACACAAATTCAGAAATTAATTTCGTAAGCGTGAACAACGCTTCAACTCACTCGAATTATAACAATCACTTCTATAAAGACGTAAAGAAAACTCTTAAAACACGCTCTATCGTTCTTCAATTGCAACAACTTTACGATTATAAAGACTTACTGTCTTTCTAAAAAGAAACTCGATTACGATAGACCGCCATACACTAACAAAACTCTCACAAAAAAGCCTCGTTTCACGTCCGTGTCTTCTATTTAAAACATTCTTCCCTTCCTTTCTTTCCCTTCCCCCTTGCCTACGTTTTCGAATAAATTAAACACCTGTGTTTTCGTCGGTGAAATTTGCTTATCTTGAAACTAATTAGCTTTACGCCGCGATAACGAACTCATATCGCACTGACCAGATTTAAAAGAGATACAATTTTACAATAAGGGCGCGATTATTTAACCAAAATCAACATCTAATAAACCTGAAACAAAATATTATAGACCTCGAAATAACATGATCAATCTAAAATTAGCGATTACATCTAACTTTAAAAATTAATATTTTCATTATACTAAATGACCCCTCGTTATTAAAGGCGCTGATGCCAAAGAAAAGGTCCACGTAACGTAGCTTACACAACAATATATTAGGCTTAAATGCAATACTTCATTATAGAAAGTAATTTATACAATACATAACATTTAATGTACATCACTTCAGTAAAAAGTAACTGTAGACGGCCTTAACTACTCCAACAGTATTCAATATATTTAGTTCGTTCTTTTTGAATTCGGTAGCCAAGAAAAATCTTGACGATTAATGTGCACATGCGCAATATCAACTTTCTTATTTATTAATATATTCGAGAAACTCCATTTTTTAAATTTTGCGTTGCATTGATTTTTTGCGAAACTAGTTTAATGAATTACCAAGAATTATTGATTTTTTCAGAAAAAAGTTCGCTTTTGACGCAATGGGGGGGGGGGGCAATGTGAAGAAGTTGATCGCCCCCATATTTTCAAAATTAATTCCGTATAACTTAATTACCAGAACTCTAAATTTTATTTTTCCTGTTTATTTACCTCTATTAGAAGCGTCTGTAGCCAAAAAATATCTCTATAAGTAAGAAAATTGATCACCCTGTATGTGAATTTTAATTTTTCATTAAGTAAATGTGGTCGTTGATTTGAGATCATCATGGTATTTGAATTTGAAATCAATCTGATTTGGTATCAAATTTATTTGATGCTGATTTTACTTAAATAATCGCTTTATTTTGATTTACCTTAGGCTAGGCGCGCACTTGCGATTTTCCGTACGATTCATTTGAATATGCGCCAATCGCGTCGCTGTAAAGATAGAACAGGTTGCATCTTTTTAGTCGCTTTTTGTGCGAGCAATCGTGTTATAAATTCTCCGTTTTGTTTTTGCGACTAAACAATCGTACGACAGAGTCGGAAGTGCGCCCCTAGCCTTACTGTAAAGTTAAGATAAGGTTAATCCTCGGGTGAATCTGTAAATAATTGCACTGTTACTTTTAAAGAGTTTTTTATCGCTACGTAAAGATAAGCAAATTTCGTCTATAAGAAAACATTAATTTCGTTGACAACGCAAGAATTTTTATAAAGAAGTAGAGGCGGAAAGTATAAAAAGGAAGTCGTTAAATAGACGAGAGGGATGTGAACGGTGACTTTTTTGGTGGTGGACGTTAATCGTTGCTTCTTATTTTTGTGCTCAACAGTCAGCTCGTTTGCGCGTATTTTTTGAAAGACAGTCAGATTTCCCAATAGTAGTTCCTGTGGAAGAAAGTATCTAGAATAATATATAATATAATACGTCGTGATTCAAGTGAAGGTTCTAAGTCGCGCGGAAGTGTGTCTACGCTTACCAAAAAATTTATCCAGTATCCGTTACAGGGAGTTTTTCCACCATCGAAGCGCCAACTTTACATCTGTAATTTAAACGAACCCAGTGTCGTCGAAATCGAGACTGAAGTGCAATAATTACGGACGAACGGACAGACGGACGGATGAATGCTGAAATAGCGCACCCAACTTCGTTGGAATATACTCTAAAAGTACATGATCAGGAAAGATACGTATAAATAAATGTGTAAACAAATATAGCAAACGGGCTTGACACTGCGTACTATATGGCTAGGGCTATGCCCATATTGAATTTCATGAAGTTCGGTTCGGTTCAACTATCGGGGATATCTTCCTTATTTTTTGACTTATACTGCCAATTCACGAACTCCGATCTACAAATTCGTTTTCGAGATTTCGAAGTTCGTTAATAATGTAAAATTACATGTAGAAAATTGATCGTTTAAAACCGGCTTAAGAAATAATGGTACATATAAAGTCGAATTTTTAACGGGAATGTGAACCTTCTTTTCTGTTCATCAATAAAAAAATTCTGAAGGCGCTTTTGTGGTATGCTTGCTCGGGTCGTCATCGGCCTCCATGAGGCGCTGTCAAGTCAACCCAGATTAGTCACCGGCGATCACGAATGAGGGCAGTCACATTCGAGTAATATGATCTGCTTATTCGTGAATTCTTGAGAATGTTTTGTGATTTTTCTAGCGTTTGTTATATAAGTCAATTGGAGAGTATTCAAATCAGTTCCAAGATCGATGCCGAAATGATTAGTAGTGAAGTTCGCGCTCGTTTGTGTTAAATGTACATGTTATAATCTTAAGTATCAACGAGGGAATCAACACCAAGTTTTCACCACATTATAATTTAAATTATAATGTGGTGGAGACTTGGTGCTGCTCCAATTTTTTCTCCAGCTGATAATATTCTCCAATTTCAGTACCGATTGAGCAGTTAGATATCACGTATAAATATATAAAGTCACACTAAAATTAACCAAAGAATCGAAATACACAGGGGGTTCTATTTAAAAAGTGCAACTTTGATATAAATCACCCTTGGGATACTTGGGATAGGTACCATAAAAGGCTTCTTTTTAAAATCGCTGGTTTGAAGGTATGTATATTCAGTGTTCTAGAACACTACTCTACCTCCATGGAATTCATCTTAGATATAGACCGGCTAAGCTCAAAGGGAATCTCCGAAGAATGGTTAGTGCACTGAGAAAAAAATATATTAATCGCAACAAAATTATTGCAACTTTTAACAAGAAATTATAGATGAAATAGCCACAGCAAGAATTTCGGTAATAGTTACATAAAGATTACTGCTATGTTATTCTTGTTACAATTACAGTTCGTATTGTGCTTGTGAGTAAACTTCATTTTGTAACTAATACAGAGTAGTCATTTATACATTATGAAAATGGAAATGGGGCCTTGCTAACCGTTCTGTGCTGATAAAGAGAACATGATTGTCTAGCAACAAAATGGTTTGGTAAAGAAAACAAAGCGGTGCATTAATATAGCATATGATAATTGGTACTTTAAGCGTACCGTCGAATAACCAGTACCAAACAGTTTGGTGGTAAGTCATGTCGCAGAATGTGAAATTACACACGCCATCTGGTTCGAAATAACAGTTTTTCCTTGTATAGCAAGCAAGAGCTTTCTACCTGTAGCAACACACCACGATATTATAGCAACTTATTGCTGCTATTAATACAGAATTACTGAGAGACATTAACTATTTTTTACCGATAATCTCCCACGTATAGTACTGCTACTGTAGCTGAATTAGTTTATTCGTAGTAAATATCTTCACGGGTAATATACGTCCATTTATTTGTAAGTATAACATACCTACCTGGTCCTGTCCTGAAATTAATAGGCTGCCTTTCCCGTGCACTATTGATCTAAAGGGGTGCTTTGAATAAATAGCAAAACTGTACAAAGATAGTGCTCGTAAAGTATATCTCTCGATATCTATATCTAGATTCGATGTCATAACTTGGGATGCTGAAAAACACTAAAATGGTATCACTACACTACGTACTTATACGTCCAAAATAACTTGAAAAATAGGTAAAATTCAAATCACGTCTTTTAATATAAGGTCGCCTATTTTCTTACCTCCTCCTACATTAGCAAGGGGCCACCATCAGAGTGAAATAGATTTTTGGCGTATTAAATGCACGTTGTTGTGTGAATTAAAATAATTGAAATGTTATCAAAATATCCGTGACAATTCTTTGAAATTTGCGTCGAGTGAAAAGTAATAAGAGGCACAACTTGACCTATTTACAGGAGGCTTGTTATTTGTCAAAAGGCACCGAGATCACAGCTTACCGAGATGTTACAGTCACGTATATGGTTCGAAGGTATTTGTAATGACGTTAAGGCATGGCTGCCAAGCACAGTACATTCCAATCACATACGGATAGGTGATTGAAACATCTTGTTAAGCTGTGATTTGTTGTTGCCTCTTATTACTTTTCACTCAGTTACGACCAACCCTTTTTGTCCTTATGACATATGAGTTATGACCTCATATCAAAAAGCTGTGAAATATACTATATAAAAAAGCTTTGCTGTGATTGTATATAAAAAGCATTTATTAAAGTCTATAAACTCTACCTTATATAAATCAATAAATGAAAATAACACATTCGAAACTTAATAACGAATAAAACTAGGTAATAAATCCATTTTTGAAATATAAAGAAATAACTTAACTACTCAACTCATTTGCAAACTTAAAAAATATTTCGTAGGTAAAGTTAATCGGAATTATTTAAAGATATTCCCTCATAATAATATAATTTTTGCCATTTGGTGCAAAAATTAAATGATTGGGCGTGAAACAAGATAAACTGTCGTGGAATAGATAAGTTCCTTCTGCTGAGGGTTTAGGGTCAACTTCGTAGGCAAAGAAATGTTCGTCAAACCCAAGAGTAGAAAATATGAAGCATTTGTAGAGTGCGCCGTCCTCTGCCCGTAAGGCACCCAGTTTCCTTAGCTTCCACAAGTAAGGCTCTCCCATCATTACAAGAGTGGAGAAGTTTCAATATGTCCTACATAACAATAACAGTATATTAATCGATTTGCTCCCATGTTTATGCCATCGATGAGCATTATACAGGCGAGTATACAGTGTGTTTCAAAAAATCCGATATCCGATATTTTATCCACGTATAGTGCTCATGAAAAGAAGCCAAAAAATCTTAATAAACACAGGTCCGCAAACTAAGTGTTTCATAAATAGAGACTTTGTGTCTACATTTAAATATTTTTGTTTTCCTACATTGAATTGTCTGTGTACAAATTGAAAGAGGATCTATAAATTATTTTACGCATAAAGAAACCGTTTGTTTTAATAATGTAATTTGTTGAAAACAATACAAAATCAACTCGTATCTCTTCAACAAATTACATTATTAAAACAACCAAACGATGTTTGTTAATGCGTAAAATAATTAAGGCTCTGTAGTACCTTTTCTAAATGTTCTTTTTTTGACGAAATAAATTAATAATAATAATAATAATAATTTATTGTCTCTGATCAACGTTATTGACATAGACATGGTCACAATGAAAGTTTGGTATAAAAAACACACATATACATAAAAATTACAAAAGAACAAAATATAAATATTATATCACATATTCTATCACATGTACATGTCAGTTGCCTTGTAAAAACATTGGTCCATTAGGTAGTTTTTAAGTGCAGCTTTAAATTTATTTTTATTTTTAATTTTTCTAATATCTGAAGGAAGTCCATTAAATGCCTTTACACAATTGTATAATGGACTTCTTTCATATTTGGCTGTAAAATGGACTGGGACGGTCAACACTTGAGAGTTTCGGGTGGAGTAAGTGTGATTGTCACCTAGTGGAAGAAAATAGTTCTCGTGTCTATTTGCATTTACAAACATACATAATTTGTAAATGTAAATACTCGGGAATGTGCCAAATGAAAACGTTGATAATAACTCTTAAAAAATATTTTAAAAATGCCGAAGTTTTGGTCGATTTTGCACGAACTTGCTATTTTCAAAAAGGGTTATACCTAGTTGGACGGATTAAGCTGATATTTTTTCAGACTAATGATAGGTATTGTTAGTGACTTGACACTTATTTTTTTAAATTTTTTCTCTAATTATAAGATATAAATTGTTAAAAATGATGCTTTTTTACCATTTATATCGTATAATAAGAGAAAAGATGCTAAAAAATAAGAGTGTTAAGTAACTAATAGAAGTACCAGAAAACAAAATCGGTTTCGTTCATCCAACCTTAACCAAGATGGGAAAGTATAAAGTTCGTGCAAAATCGACCAAAAATTGTTTTTACGGAGTTATTAAGTTTTTTTTTTTATTTCAAAGTTGTTAACGTTTCCATATGGTGTATAACGTATTTTGTAAAAAACAAGAACATTTAGAAAAGTTGTAGGAAAGGTACTGCAGAAGTTTAAAGCAGATGCTCTAAGTACTTAAGTCAAATGTAGGGAAACAGAAATATTTAAATTAAGGCACAAAATCAACTCTATGTCTGAAATAATTAGCTTGCGGACCTATGTTTATTAAGACTTTTTGGCATCTTTTCATGAGTACCTACTACACGTGGATAAAATATCTATAGGACCTTTTTTTGTTAAAACACCCTGTATAACGTACTTAAAGTGATAACGATATAGAATAAATACCTACATAAAAATGTATACTTACTCCTCTTTGTTCTTGTAGCGCTCCAAGATCCCTAGCCCCTTCTGGCTCGGTAGGGTTTAATGGTTCCCCAGATAGAGGTATATTATTGCCACTAATATCTTCTAATAAATAATCCTCAGTTGCCCATGAGGTACTCGCAATCTCGGCAGCACCGGGTATAACCTTATAGTAATAGAAACATCGATTATAAATTTATCAACATGATATGCCGGTAGGTTCCTACTTCCTAGCGATATCAAAATGTCTGTGAATTATTCCCGTTTTTTGGTTGATGATTATTGTTGATGTGAATCATCAAATAAACGAACCTAGCCACCAGTGATGTCTTCTTTAATAAACGAGGAGATTACGGCGAATAATGCAGGCGTTTTATCGTCCAGTCTCCAGTCAGTAAAAATACACAGAATTCAAGAAAATTTTCCTCAGCCAAACAGGATGTGCCTCTCTAAACATTTTTGACTTCATTTTTAAAAATATCTTATTTTCATTGGAAAAACGGTATCGACAGGATCAACGGAAATACTGAGGGAAATTAGGCAAATACACAAATTTCGTGATATAAACGACGCGTTCCGTTGGGACGAAATTTTTCAATTTTGTATATGCTATCAGACATTCGTGGACGAAATTTTTCCGCTTTTATAAGACTTTATAGTAGGTTTTAAGAAACGCCTTCGGACTGATTCAGGATCGATCAGATTCAAAATAAATAAATTTTGAAATCAAATGGAACCAAATGGATAACTACGAATAAGGTAATTTACATAGATTCGAACCCCTTCCACTTCACTAATAAATTTCCAACAGCCCAACGTTCACTATTATCATTGAATAATTTATTCAATGCTATTATGTACATATTTTAATTTCTTTGTAAATTGTTAGAGCCAATTTAAATCCACCGGCAATGCATCTCTGTTTATAATCGATTTAAATTTACCCTAAGAAATTTACACACACTACGGATTGCACCTCGGATTGTACTTACTGGTAATGGAGACGATTGTGGAATTTCGTTAATTATCATCTTCCAGTGATCCAAATGCCCCTGAAATTGGGCTCTGTCGCCTATTGAAGGTATTAGTTCTTTTACCATTTCTGGTGTTAGGAACGGTAAAGTGTCCTTTTTTACGTTTTGTTCTGAAATATAATATGATTAAATCCAATGTTTTCTGTTCTAGATGCAAAATATCAATTTGTTATGTTTGGGGTGTAATTCCTATGTCGCCAGTAGTAAATAAAACATCTTTACATTAATTACCTAAGTACCACCTATATTTCGACGAGATGTTGTCGTTTTCTACCTTTCAGTTTCTCCCTGGTAGGCATGGGAATTTTTTTCGATATATCGATAGGTATCGATAGTTATCGATATATCGAATAACAATAGGTAGAGCTAAAAAAATCGATATATCGATAACTATCGATATATCGATACCTATCGATAGTAATCATATATCGATAACTATCGATATATCGATAACTATCGAAATATCGATAACTATCGAAATATCGATAACTATCGACATATCGATAGTTATCGATATTTCGATAGTTATCGTTATATCGATAACTATCGACATATCGATAACTATCGATATATCGATAACTATCGATATATCGATAACTATCGATAACTATCGACATATCGATAGTTATCGATATTTCGATAGTTATCGATATATCGATAACCATCGATATTTCGATAATTATCGGCATATCGATAAGTAAAATATATCGATAGGTAAGTACCCGATACTTATCGATAGGTGAAAACAGTTATCGCCCATCCCTACTCCCTGGGATTGCAGAGGAAGACGCGTAAAAAATCTACGTGATAAAGATGTTTTATAAACATTAGGTAACAGCATTGCATAGGTACATTTTATTCAATGGTAACAGGTAACATGGAAATAAACCCAACAACCTTTCTTAGTCAACGTTTTATGATAATGAAATACTCGTACTTATACGTTTGAATACGTCGACATACTGGGGCAAACCCCACGTATGCAAATACGCCACCACATCTTCATCTGCCATTTCCGATACCGCACTAACTTTCAAAAACACTAAAAATATCTGTTACTTATGGCCACACTTTAGAAACGTTCGCAAATCGCAGTAACTAATGGCTGGTAAGCATAAGAACGCCAGAAACTACTAACAGTACCTACTGCACGAACTGCGAAGGGCGAACAATGGAAATTCAACATCCTTAACAAAAAGTTGGATATTATTACACTGACGCTAATGCTTATAACAAATCACACGTAGGAAAAATACAGTAAAAATTGTACAGTACTCACTTTGTAATAGTAAACGAATGCTTTATTTTTTCTGTGCAGCAATACTTTTTTGCTTCCATCAACACTTTGATTATGTGGGAGTAGCAAACCTAATGTTATGAATGCAGTATAAAATTATAACTTAATACCTTTGTAATAATAACTAATCGTGTGATTATAAATTCATACCATTTGGTAATAACAACTAAATGTATTTTACCGTAATGGGGGTGCGTTCAATACTTCTTGGTATACAACCAACACAATTTGTTTTTGTAAAGATAAAGAAAATTTTGCATCTATAGCAGAATACAAAATTACCGAAATTCTGGTAATATTATTTCTTTCAGTGTGAGTCGTTGAAAGAGTAAACTACAAAGAACCTTGGAATGTTCCAAAAATGTCCTAGAAGAATCACTTCAGTTTTCGAATAAGTTTAAAGTTTGGCTCTTCGAGTCGAATCGAAAAAAAGTTAATGCTCAAGTAGCGACACATTTTGACTGACCCTACTGTAAGTGTAACCTTCAAATATTTACACAATTTAAATTTCAAAGTGGAAACGCAATTGAATTAACATTGGAAAGCGCCTTGAATACTTTATAAGGAAACAGAAGAATTGAAAGAAATGAATAAAATGTTGACAATTAGAGGGATATTAGCCGGCACAAAAAGACGAACTTCAAATCCAATATCGTGCTAGAAACGCGTAACACGTTCTCCCTTGGAACGTGTTGGGAATTTACATCAATAATGGTACAGCAATATTTCAGAAACTAAATTGAACGTCAACATATAGGAGAGACGATTCACTTCCGCTCAACAAAACAAACATTAGGAAAGTGCATAACATTTTATGGCAAAAAAAAACGTGAGCGGCCTCAAAAAGATGTCCCCGCCCGAGATCCGGAAAACTAAAAGCAATTTCATTCAATTACGGAAATCGATACGGCGAGTTTTCAAAGCCCTCAAGAATTTACAAAGTCGAGTTTATTCTACCGGAATGTCAATTAGAGGGAGAAAATCGTCTATTTGGTCCGGTGCCTCATTCTTTCGTAGTAATTTAAATAACACGCTCGAGACGGTTTCTTTTGATAAGACCATGTTTCGGTCGGGTTTCGTATAAAAAAAACCTCAAAAGTATTTTTGTTATACGTGATTTATTGAAGGGGAAAGCTGCCAAAACAAAATTAATTATCGAAATGAGCCCGAGGGTAGTAGATAAGAGAGTAGGAAAAATCTGAATTTAAAAAACTTATTTTTGAAATGTCAGCTTCGGATTCTTCGCTCAGTTTTCGATGGATATAATTTAGTAGTTCTTTTGTACAGTGTTCATCGTAATTCATAATTCCAATGCAGATTTATAAATCAGATTTTTCTAGGTTAAGAGAATATCTGAGCAGAGAGAAATTATTTTTTATTTAGACCCTGGTCCTGGGATTCTGAAGCAACAGGAGAAATTAGTATACAGCGAAATTTACGTGTGTTATTTTTCCCTATGTCTACTTTTAAATGACAAAATCTCTTCTGAAGGGCGCCTAATTTTATGCAGCTAACATAACTTTAAAACAAATAAACATTCGGCTGTCATATTAATTAATTTAAATATTGTTGGACTTAACAGAAAATAAATCTTTTACGCGTCTTAAACTGCTTCCGGTACTATACCAATTGACGTATAATAACTCTCGCCAGGAAAGATTGCCGGTCAGAGAAGACCTGATGCCGGTCTACAATCTGTGTTTCTCTAAAGATGTGAGCGACTCCTAGGATAGGCATTTTGTCGCCAGATTCTTTCACATTTGAAATAGTAACTTTTGTTTTAAATGTTTTTGTGTTTAGAAATAAAGTTACTTACAAAATAATTTCTCATCCTTCATTATCAGTACCAACTGTAAACAGTTGGCTATTGGCTATTGGCATATTACATATATGATTGTGAATAAAATTACTTACAGTTTTTTAAACAATAATCCCTTAATCCGGTGGTAGCAACGGTCGTGCGATGTTCCGACGCACTTATCACTGATACAAAAACACCCACTGAAAGCTTTAGGAAACTTCACCACTGTTCTACTCCATTGTCACAATGATAACACAAACTGGCCTTAAGTAACACAATTTCTAATTTTTAATGCGATGACTGTTCAAACGGGTAACACTTCGACTTTTATTACACCTTTTAAACAAGGTCTCGTCATGCACTACAAACTGATTTTTCAACAACGTAACTTCTTCCGTAAACGGAGAGATCATATTAACTTCTCACAAGACTTTAACGTCAACTACTTCTGCACTGATTTTAGCTTCGACGAAAGTACGTTTTTAAACAAAAAGAAATAACAATTGCTCACCCGTCGTGATTTAAACACTTCCTTGTTTTTCCTAATTAAGGTAAACCATCATTCTCCTACTACTACTACTAAATAAAGGCAAAAAAAAAATGCATTCGACCGGCTGTTTTAACATTCTAACACGCAATTTTTACTTCTTAACATTTAAATAAACAAATTAAGACGGAGGATAAAGTTTCAACAAAGAATTAAGCGTATTGTATGAGACGAAGCAAATACTAAAGAAAGAACCTCACAGAAGTATGACACGACCAGTAAATTCCTTGAAAAAGGCAGACAAAAGTCTCGAGTCAAACGTGAAATCGATTTACAAGTCAAACAAACCTGAAATACGAAGCCCCCCCCCCCCACTTTTTAAATATTGGTTAACCAAATGTACCAGGTGGCATAGAAACCAGCGACAAACGTTGCAGGAGGGGGGGGGGGGCAAGTTAACGGTCACATGTAATATTTTTCTAAGTACCAATGCCCTACAACAGGTACCTACTATTATCCTCTCAAAGGAAATATATTAATATCCCCCCCACATACTATTGAAGGATGCCACTAAGTCAGCGGGGCACAAAACGTCAAAATGTTACTCCAAAATTTTTCTTGAATAGGTAGCCTCTATGTAAAAGGTGTGCAGCACGCCCTTCAATGTTTTGTCTTAAAGCACCCGTCGATTTGCTTATGTAGCAAAATGTCCTTCTTTCTCGAAACTTCCCGAACGCTTCCGAACGCACCCGAGTATTCTAGAATGTTCTCGTACAAACACGTCATATTTCCCTGAAAGATTGCTTCACATCCGCCTTGGTTCTTTATCGCCGATGACTAATCTGTCATTGCATCTCGATGTGTTTTTGGAATAGTCGTTACATACGATTATTTCATGGCTAGATTTCGACTTGATAGCTCTTCCTTCAACTTTTGCGGAGTTTTTGCTTTTTTTTCTTCGACTTTTTCAGTTTTATTCCCCGAACCAATGTGCGATTTCGCCAATCAGGAAGCCCGAAAGCCGCTTATTCTCACTTCTCAAATCCACCTAATATCATAACCACTGACATCCACTCATTTGACTTCTTCGGATTCCTTCCTAAACGATAGCAATATTCACAGGGCGTCATGAAAATCTCGCGCAGTAGCAATCAAGTCTCATATCGTGCCAAAAGACTCTTCTCGTCTCGCGTTTCCTACGAGAGTCACTGTCTCATCGTACATAACCTATTTCTTCTAATTTTCATACTAAATTTATTAATTAACTAACTATACAGGGTGTTTGTTAAACATGCGGCAAAAATTAAAGAGGTAATTCCTCAGAATATTCTAAGGATCTTTTATCCTGACGTTTTTGAAAAAGCGATTTGTTGCGAAGATTGATTTTGAAAGAATCGGGGAGTCGATGAGGAAAAATTAAGAAAGTATACATGGAATTTTTATCTTAATTATTGTTGAAAAATGTTTCGCCCTGTAAATTGTTGGTTAGAACGAAAGGATGAAGCACCGTAGTATTTTTTTAAAATTCAATTTCACACAGGGAATAGAAAGTGACAAATTTAGATTAGATTACAGTAAAATTGTAATGCAAAAACACTTGGAGAGTGTCATTATATAAAACGTTAACGGTACACACTTCATGCCATGTGTTTTTGATATTATGGTCCATTTTATTAACCGTTTAAATCAATACCAGAAAATGCGAACGTGCAAAAAAACCGATTAGTCATTAAATCGATCTTAAACGTGACGAACGAAACAGCCGATGCGAAAATGACACGCGTCACTACAAGCCGTGAGAGCCCAAAACGTTTCAATTAACAATTAATTAACTGTCATTCGTTAGCTCCGTAATCAATTTGCCATTTGCGTTGCAACTGGCTTACGATGACTTAAAAAATGAATACTTGAAAGAGTGAAATAATTATAAAAATAATCGCTGCTGCTATTGAAGGTACTCGTTATAATTATTGGTTTTCATTCAATCCGATACAAGCCGATAGCGAAAATTGCTTCCGTGCCCTTTCAAACCCTTATTAGCCGCGCGTTTCTACATTTCAGAAGATTTTTCGAAAAAAAAATGTAATCATTTTGCCAACGTGATTGTCAAAATGGACGGCACTACGTAATGTGCTGATGACATGGCAGTATGTTTGCCCACTGGCATTTGTTTATTGAATATGAAAGTTTATCGTTCACAGCGTACCGTTACCATTTTATGAGATACCAGCCGAATGCTTACAAGTTACAAGTTACAAGCAGTTTCACGTTTACTTGCTTGTACCCTTTAAACTTGAAACCTACAATTTAGAAGCCAAAAGATTGTCATTCAAGTACCAAACTTGGTGCTGAAAAGTCAATACTGAAGACTGCCAGGTAGTTTTTTTTTCATTTAGATTGATTTATTAAATTAAAGTAACAATGTGTACGGTACTTTTATGATTCACAAAATTTACCTAAGTATAGCCAAAATAAAGGAGTTTTTAGCAGCTCGCTTACTAGTGTATCCTAAAAAGGGGGATTTAGCAGAT